GTCTCCCAAGACAACCAGCCAGGTGAGGTGGGGAAACACTCACCCATTTGCCCAGAGGGCACAATCACTTATTGTAGCTCTTGCAACTCAACTCGCTCCTTGGGGATGCTGATCATGGTGCTTAACTAGCTGGCCACAACCATTGAGTAGACCAAGGGGCTCGTTTTTGCTCTCATACCTTATGCGCCACAGGAACAGGAGCCCAAGAACTGGGAGAGGCACAGGTGATCCTACAGACCAGCCCCCCAACATGCTCAGCCAACTTGGAGGAGTGTTTGCTTACTTGCCCAGTCCCAAGACTAAGGATGGTTACTGCGTGAATAGCTGGGCCCCACCCACTCTTAAAAGGAGAGCATCGGGGAATGTTTCTCAAGGATTGGTGTCTTATGGGATTGCTGTAAGGACTGAACCCCCTAAAAGCTCCTTACAAATGCCAGGTAATATGATTGTACGTTGCACGACTTCAGGTGAACTTGAATGAACCAAGCAGAAATTTATTTCTGCAACTGACAGCTAGTGCAGCTATTGATCCAAACATATATATCCTGACATAGTCCTGCCAGAGAGCTAAGACTGGCTGGGGAGGCCCTCTGCCAGTGATGTGTAGGCAGCCGTTCTCCATGGTGCCCCACCCATGGTTTTGTAGTGGTTCTGATGAAGGAGCCCCAGCTGATCCTGCCCCACCCTATTTACTGAAGAAACAGGACCAACCATTTTAATCCATTCCTGTCTTTCTGTCTGGAAATCAGGACATGAAAGCAACAATTTGAGCATCCCAGTAAAATCCAAAGTTCCTGGGCTGTCTCAGGGGCTGTCTCTGGCCATGGCATGGGAAGACCATGGATGTACAGGTGCTTTTCTACACCTGCAGATCTTTCACAACCTGTCTCTGGGATGGTTTGTTCAGTTCAGGGAGCAGCACAATCTATTATTGTGATCTGAAGGTCCTTGGCCTACTTTGGTGGCCAAACAGCTCAGGACTTATATAAGCCTTTCCAGAATGTTTCAGACGTATAAAAATAACACTGTTCTCCCTTCCTTCCCAGCCTGCAGGGGAAAGAGTTCGGAACACTTTGCTCCCATCCAAGGCTAAACTCAGCATCTGGCTGAAGACTCACCAGCCTCCTTGTGTCTGTGACACCTTTTTTGCATTTCTGAGGCTCCATGCATATGTTCAGGGAGCAGGTGGGGGGGGGGGAGAGGAAGCAGGTCCTGATCAAATTACCAAAGCAGGGTGTTAGCAAATTTCTTGTTTGCATGACAGAGTAGTTCACACGCTCCTGTGGAAGAATCAGATCTGAGAGACAAGGAGAGTGTAGTGGTTAGAGCATCAGACAAGGACCTGAGAGAGACCTAGTTTCAAATCCCTGTTTTGTTAGGGCGTGCTGAATTTTTCAACTTTCAAATTCCAAAAATGAGGGGTGCAAAAAGTTGTAACATGACTTGGGAATTAAAAAGGTTAAATTAGTATAATTTAGATTTGCTTGGTAAATAACACGTGTGTAAAATTGTATAGAAATCATTAAAAATAAATGTCACGTACTTGTAGTTATATATTTATATTATTTATATACAGCAGACCCTCGGGTTACGTTACCTTTGGGTAACGTAACTTTCGGGTTGCGAATGTGGCAAACCCAGAAGTGTATTCTTCCGGGTTTCGCCATGCTCGCATGCGCAGAAGCGCTCTATCGTGCTGTGCATGTGTGTAGAAGCAGCGCCTCTACTTGCAGATTTTTCGGGGTACATATGGACCCCTGGAATGAATTACATTCATATCCAGAGGGTCCACTGTATTATATACAGTGCTATTTTTCTAGAAAAAGAGGTGCTGGAACTCATCATGGACGCCTCCCTGGTTCTTTTGTAATAGCAATGGCGCCCACCTGAGAGGTGCCGGAACAGAGTTTTGGTGAATTCTGGCTGGGAAAAAACCCTGATTATACATACCTGTATATTACCTGAGACTTTCGGAAGGTAAAATTTAAATTATTTGGTTTTCTAAGAGCAGTTTATGTGCTTCTTAATCAAATGTAGACTTACCAAATTAAATGTTGTCCAATCACAGAACTAATAGCAGATTTGAATTCCCCACACCCATGTTATTGAGACCACTCACTGAAGAAATTTGCAAAAAATAAGTTTCACCCCCTAAAATGACACGTCCTACTGCTCTAGGCATGAAGCGCGCTGGGTGACCTAGAACCAGTCACCATCTCTCTGCCTAAACTACCTTACAGGGTTGTTGTGAGAATGAAACAAGCTTCCTGGAGGAAAGGGGAATATAAGTAGAATGAAAGAATGTAGTCCTGAGCCCAGGTGATTTGAGCTTGCTCTCCAGCCACTCAAGGAACAGGGGCCCTGGGGGTGGTGGTAAATCTGGAAACTCTAAAAGTTGAGACCTTTCTTGGAAGGAAGAACCAGTGATCATCCCCCACTTGTCACTTTTCCTATGAAAGAAGGGGCTTACCAACTGAAGAAACATCTCCAGAGCTGCTAAAGCTTCTGCTAGCAAGGCTGCTGAAGGAAAACTCAGTCTTCCCCAACCTGGTGCCCTCCAGTTGTTTTGGACGTAAACTCCCATCATCTCCGACACTAGGCCACGGTGGCAGGGGCTGATGGGGCTTGTAGTCCAAAACATCAGAATGAGTCTTCCTCAAGAGGACAGCAACCAGCTCCTTTTTCGGACCATGGGGAGTGGCAATTCAGGAAGAACCAGGCCTCCAATGTGCAGCTTGGAATCAGAGAACTTTCCCTTGAGATGGGCAGTGTGCACAACAAGATGTCCATTCATCACTCAGCCGTGTCCTTCATTGGGGTCACGGCTTGTCCAGTCCTTTGTCTGTATAAGGAAGCCGACAACCTCTCCACCAAAAGAGCCAGCCTGTGTCTGAGTGGGGTGGGTCTGTGGAGTGGGGAGGGCTGTAGATTTCTCAGTGGGATCATCAGGTGCCTTTAGCATGGTGGTGTGTATAATTCTCTATTTCTCCTTTACATCTCCAGGTGTGGCAGTGCTGGACTGGTGTCTTGCCTCAGTGGTGGACTGGATGAGAGGAAATAAACTGAAGCTCCCTTCAGATAAGACAGTGGCACAGTTGGGAGGTGGCCTGCTCTTGAGGGGGTTACACTTCCTCTTAAGGAGCAGCTACATAACTTGGGGGTGCTCCTGGATCCATTACTGTCCATTGAGGCCCAGGTGGTCTTGGTGGCACGTAGTGTCTTCCATCAGCTTCGGCTGGTGGCCCTGCTATGCACCTATCTGGACAGGTATGGGCTAACGTCTGTGGCCTATACTCTGGTAACCTGTAGGCTGGATTACTACAGTGTGTTATACCTGAGTCTGCCTCTGAAGATGGTTCAGAAACTTCAGCTGGTGCAAAATGCAACGGCTAGATTTCTTACCAGAACAAGATGGTTTGAGTCCTGGCCTGCCTGCACTGGCTGCCAATTCATTTCCAGGCCCAATTCAAAGTGCTGGTGCTGACCTATAAAGTCTTACACGGCTCAGGACCTCAATACCTTAAGAACTGCCTCTCCCCATACAATGACCCGGATCCAGCTCTTGTCATCCGTGGCCCTTCTCTATGTCCCTCCTACCTGCGAGGTTTGGAGGGTGGCCACATGAGAACAGGCCTTTCATGTGGTGGCTCCCCACCTATGGAATGCTCTCCCTAGAGAGGCTCGCTGGACGCCATCATTACGTGTTTCCAGGTTCCAAGCAAAAACATTCCTCTTTACCCAGGCCTTCAATCATTAAATGATCTATGGCCTGTTAAAGGGGGGGGCACGGTTACGATTCTTTTATTACTATGCTGTCTATTATTATGCTTTGTATTATGTTTTAATTATTATGCTCTGTAAAATACATTTTTAATGTCTTACACCACCCTGGTTGATAAAGGATGGTATATCAATCGAATCATTATTGTTAATCATCATCATGCGGCTGGGATGCCTGGTGCCGTCTGGATACTGTTGAACCCCCAGCTCCCAGCAGCCACAGCCAGCAAGGCCAAAGGTCAAGGACAAAGGGAGTTGTGGACGCAGGTTCCCTACCCCTGATGCACAGTATAAGCACATCAGGGGAGCCCTTTGCTGTCTCTAGTCAGCACCCAGATGGGAAAGACCACCAACAGCGCAAGAGGGTTCCTGTGCTCTTCCCACTCTTATTTCCCAGTAACTCTGTAAATACTTATTTCTGTTTTTAGTGATAGACTGCCTCTGAGTCTGGAGGTTCTATACTGTAGTTTCCATACCTCTGGTTGCCATATCTCTTTTCCATGAATTTGTTGAATCTCCATTTGTAGCTGTCTAACCTTGTGACTGTGCCCTGTGAATCTTGTATGTGATTTTCTTAAAATTAAACCCACAAAGCTCTCAAAACAGCAAAGAGAATACTGAAAGTAATAATTCTGCTGTGTGCGCTCTTGCCAGCACAATCCTCAGCGTGCCTGCTCAGATGCCAGCCCCATTAAATGCATAGAGGGTTGCAGCCTGGAATTATGGACAGATTGAGAAGCACAGGTGGAGGTGAGCAAGAAGGAGGAAAGGGAGGGATTGTTTGAGGGAGCAGGCCTTTGGACAAGGGGTGATGGTGGAGCGATAATTCTGTAGGAGAGAATGGTGTGGTTTCCTCTGAAAGAGTGGCCAATAGGTGGCGCACTGCAATCAATTACTGGGCTCACCTGGAAGGCAGCTACAACTGCAGCTTGTCAGTCCTAGGCTGCAAGGACAGAGGCAGCACCAGGTTCAGCGTCAAGCAGAATTAGGCCAAGAGAGGTTTGCTGATGCCCCAGGCTGGAAGAGGCTGGTTAGTCAGCTGGAAGTGATGTTTTGTTGTCTTGCAGTGCTGTGATGGAAATGAGATTTATTGTTGTGATGGTTTGACTTTTTTAAAAAGATGGTTTTATTTTATTATGCTGGTTATAAATCACCCTAATAGAAGACTGTGATGGCTTCTTGTTCAGAAGGCAGATGACTCAGGGTGGATTAACACGGCCATGACTTTTTTCACAAGGGGACTGCAATCCTTGCTTCCACCTGGCCATTTAAAGCTCCCCTCAGGTGTGTGCCTCAGAGGTCACAGTGCTCGTCAACAGGAGGGATGGATACTTGATACGAGCATATTACTGGATATTACCACCTACAGATTCAGCCACCTACTAGAGCAGCATCTCTCCTGCCTGGGTGAGCCAATGATTTCTCCTGGGAGGCCGGGTGGAAAGGAAGGAACTTTGGTGTCTAGGTCAGAAACAGGGGTGGTGGAAGTTCAGCAGGTGCAGTTGGAAATGAAGTCCTGGCACAGAGGTGAAAACATGGGCCCGGTATGTGGCAGCTTAGGAAACGGTTGCATTTTAATTTTTCGCTTTTACAAATTTCATTGAATCCTTCACAGTATAACAGTTTTTATTTTAAAAAATGTTGCAGACAAAACTTTAAAATCTGATGTAAACCAATCAAAACATTCCAAAGACCACATGGGGATGGGAAATACGTAAGTGAACCATGCGTCCTCGTTACATACTTCGGGAATAATATACCTATAAATGCCAAACATAGGGCCCAGTATGTCAGCAAAGCTAACAGCAACCTTCTTTAAGATTTGGTGAGAGCCAGTGACAAGATATCTAAATTAAGAAAATCCAAACCAGTTTTTTAAAAAATATTTTCCCTCTCCTTTTATAAATTTATATGAAACAGAAAGAACAGTTATAACAACAGATGAAAAGCAAAAAGTGAAAAGCAAAACTATAAAATAGGCATGTAAAATGAGTCCAGTTCCACATGGGTTAAAGTAACCAAGTAGAAAATCAGAATACAGAGGTAAAGTTCAGGACAACGTAGCTCTCCAAAAGGAAAAGTGAACAGAAGATGGTCTAGGTTCTTCAGGTGAGGAATTAATGAAAGAAATGAAGTGATGGAAGTTAAGCAGATACAGTTCCTGCAGGTATTACTGTATTACTTCCTGCTTCTCAAAGGGCACCATCAGGGATGTGCTAAGCTAGCTTGGTTAGAGGAAGGGGGAGCGTTAGAAGTCCAATTAATACCTGCAAGATTTTTTTTCTGGTAAGGACATCAAGGATTCTGTTCCTCACTGGCCATTTCTCTGTATTGCCCTGCAGGTTCCAGCAGCAGCTGCATTGATCGCTGTAGAGTAGCAGTGCTTGCTTGGGGGTTTCAGTTTTTAAAACAACTGGTGTGAAGTGATAGTCCTTAAGGCTATGCAATCTCAATGTGTGATGGGAAGCCTTGCACCTTCTCGTGAGTGTCACCAGCAGAATAGGAAACACACACACGGAGAGAGGGAGAGAGATTGAATTTGGATCAAACTCCAGGTATTCAGATCTACTTATCTAACCCATTCTTCTCCATCATGGCCCACTGCTGTGGTCCAGGTGCTCCAAAGGGCGCTAGATTGGGGAAAGAATATCAGCTTGTTCTCCTAAGCCAAAGCGCTCGAACTGCAAGGCTACCAGGAATGATGGGCAGACCTGCATCCAGGAACAGGCAAGGTGCCTCCACCCACCATTGGCTGGGCATCCCCAGCTCTGGGCTCCCGTCCTGCTCGTGGGCTTCCCACAGAGGGCACCGCCAGAACAAGAGGATGGGCTCCCTTTGCGCTGAGCCTGATTCAAGAGGGGCTACGGGCTAGAGAAACAACCCCAGACGGGGAAACTTGGCTCTGGCTGCTGCTCGAGCCGGCGGTGGCGGCTGGCTGGCAGTCCCTGCTTGTTTGCGTGCCCCGGGCAGGAGCGCCCCTGAGCAGGCGGCGCCAGCGCGGCTCCTCCGCCTTTACGCGCCTGGCAGCTGCTGGCACCGCGGAGGAGGGAGGCGGGAGCGGGGCTGCTGGCCAATGGGAGCTGCCTCCGCGGCTGGCGATTGGCTTCGGCGCGCCGCCGCTTGCCCATAAAGAGCGCGCCCGCGGCGTCGGGCTGCAAACTCGCCGGAGTAGCGGCTGGAGCGCTTGGCTGGGCGCAGCAGCTCTGTGCGCGCGGCATCCTGAAGCAGTTCTCGGGAAGCGGCCAACCCTGCAAGGTAGGCGCGAGGTTGTTTGTGCCAGCGGACTCTGCGGGCTTCCTCAGAAGCGAGGCTGGGGACTCCGATCATAGCTGTCAACGTTTCCCCTTTTTAAAGGGAAATTCCCTTATTCCGAATAGGATTCCTCCCAAGAAAAGGGAAAAATTGACAGCTATGACTCCGATGGGGCTTGGCACCTAAGTGTGCTGGGGATCGCAGCCTTGAAAAGGCGGCCAAGATGAAAGTCTACGGACTGGCCAAAGACAGACTGGTCTTTGGAGTTCTGCATGGGGGCTCTCCCTCCCCCTTTTTTCTCGTTCCTCCCTTGTTAAGTAAAGAAACCCGTTTTAGTAAATGGAATGTATGTACTGAATTCTATCTAAAACTACCGGGAATTCTTCTTCACAAGGGAAAGAGTTTGGTGGGGGCTGGGAAGGCTTGCTGGAGCCCGATCCTGTGTTTGTTGGCTCTGACGTAAAGCGCACTAGATTCTGTAAAGGTTACTCGCAAGAAAGCATGCCTGGATTTTTGCAGCTGTGGTGTGCAAACAGGCTTTAGCTATACAAAAGTAGCATTCAGCTACGTCCTACTTGGAGTAGACCCACTGGAAGGAACAAACACGGATGCTAATTTCAGTGGGTATACTCTTGAGTAAAAAGAAGCTGAATACCACCCATCATTGCTGCCTACGTTTAAGAGGGCTGTAAGGTTTGAATGGTAGTTGGCTCGGCAGGTCCGACTCCCTTGCTGGGTTCTTGCGAACAACCCAGAGATATTAACGCCTTTGTATTCCCCTCTCCCCTTTTTGGCAGGTTCTTCTGATCTCCTTCAGCTCTTCTTTGGACTCCCGAGAAGTCAGCCGGACTCAATGTGGTTCTTGGAGAAAGTGGGGGCGTCCCCTGGAGAAGGCAGCCCCCTGGGCCCGTCCTTCCTGGGCTTGCCCCCCAGCCACTCTGTCCCTAACGCAGCCAAGCCGGGGGCCCCTGCTGCAGCTTTTGCCAACATACTGACCCCGGACAGGATCCCGGAGTTCTGCATCCCTCCCAGGCTGGCCAATCCTCCTCCGGCGAAGAGTCCCAGCGCAACTTTCCAGCCCCACCGCTGCCTCACGGAGCCCGGCTTGCAGCAGGCGGCCACCTCGGCCGGGGTGGGGACCGACCGCACTCCCTGCCCGTTCCTGCTGCCCCACCTCATCCAGGTGGAGAGCGTGGAGGAGATCCCGGACCTGGAGGAGGAGGAGGAAGGCGGCACGAACTCGGACCCCCAGTCGCAGGCTGCCCTGTCCCTGCCCCACTTCCCCAAAGCGCAGACGTCCTACGGCTTCTGCACGCTGCTGGAGAGCCCGCACACGCGCAGGAAGGAGTCCATCTTCCACAGCGACTCCTCGCTCAGCCTGGCGCGGCCCCGAGCCAGCAGCTACGCGGGCCGAGAGCTCTCCTCCGGCCGCCCGCTGGCCTGCCCGCCCCAGCTGCTCCGCCGGCCCTGCGACAGCGACACGGCTTCCTCCAGCGAGTCCTCGCCCTTCGGCTCCCCGCTCCTGGGCCGCTCCCCTCCGCTGCGCGGGCCCGGCTTGCTCTCCAAAGCGCGGAGCCAGGAGGGGCTGCTGGGCAGGGCCTGGCGGTCGCGGGGCAAGCTGTCCAGCGCGGGGAGAGCCAACTCCCTGTCCACGGAGGACAGCAGCTCCACGGACAGCAGCCCCAGCGCCGTGCGCCGCTCCTCGGACAGCCTCTGCGAGCCGCTAAGCTGCCGCGCCTGCAGCCTGTCCTCGCTGCCCATCATCTTCCCGCTGGACGCGCCCTGCGGCGGCGGCGGGCGGGAGAGGCTGGGCCGGGAGAGCACGGTGGGCCTGGACCGGGGCGGGCTGCTGCGGCTGTCCTGCGAGTACTGCCCCGAGAACCGGCGCCTGCGGGTCCGCCTGATCAGCGTGGAAGGACTGTACGAGCCCGCGGCGGAGCCCAAGAGCATCAACTGCTGCATCACCTTCTCGCTGGTGCCCGGCAAGATCCAGAAGCAGCGCAGCACGGTCATCAAGAGGAGCCGCGACCCCATCTTCAACGAGGACTTCTTCTTCGTGGGCATCGCCGAGGACGACCTGGGCAGCCTCGCCGTCAGGATGAAGGCTGTGAATAAGGGGAGCAGCTTGAAAAGGGACCTCCTTTTGGGGGAGAGCGAGGTTCCCTTGATGAAGCTTTTAGCGGGTTAAAAAAGAGAGAAACAACTCTCTTGCAACCTGAGATACTTTATTTATTTTTTTCATACTCGTGGGTTTTTTTGTTTGTTTTAAAATAAATATAATTTTTACTGAAACTTGCAAATGCTTCTCTTTTGGTATCTGTTAGGTCAGTAAATGGCTTTGACTTCAGCGAGGCCTGCAAGTTACACGCTGGAATGCACAATTCATGGCTCTGTTAATCCTGTGCGCCTGTGCTTTGGCAATGTCCCATTGAGCTCTCCATGAGGCTTGCACCTAAGGAGCTGTGTACAGACTTGCAGCTTCAGTGTTTGTGTAGCAACCAGAGTGCTTTACATTATCCTTAAAACAACCCCCACAGGGCAGGTGACAGGGTGGTGGTGGCCGAAGCTGGTTAGTTTCAACCTACAGCTGGAGAGTCCCAGGTCATCTCTGCTCAGCTACAGAGCTCACTCTCTCAGGGCCTCTCCTACCTCGGAGGCCGGCTTTAAAATGTAATTTATGAAAATATATTTAACGTTTTCTCCCATTTGAACGCAGTGGGGCTTACTTCTGAGTAAACACACACAGGGTTGTTCTGTGAAAGGCAGCAGTTTACCTTAGACCTCCTAGTGAGTCCATGGCAAGAGGGGATATTTGTACTGGAATTTTTTTTAGTTCACTGTTACACAACACTAGCTCCATTTTTATCAAGCCATCAGGGTACATTAGCCTTCCTCAGTCTGGGATCCTTCCAGTACAGAGTGCTCTACTTTGCAGTGTGAAATACAAATGTCCGTGAGCTTTGTATAGGAACATGACAGACTGTACCTCTTGCATTTCATGACCCTTTAGCATCATAGCTTATAGTTCATGCCCATTATAAACAATTGCCAACTGAGGCCAGCACTCAGTGCATCTGATGAAGTGGGCCGTGGTCCATGAAAATTTAAGCCACAACAAGGCTACAATCCCAAAGGGATTTACCTAGTACATAGCTGTAGTGAACCCACTAAGGTTTACTTCTGAGTAATGGGTAAAGGATTGCACTGTCAATCTATTAGATCTGAGGGTGCCACAATGTTTGGGGGCTATAATTTTGAGTAAATATAGCACTGGCTGGGTTGTTAGGTTTTGTTTCAGTAAGAGGTGCTGATGTGAAGTTAAGCCAGAAGTTCCCAACAGGAATTGAATCAAAGAAGAAATGTGTAGAAAATAATCCAAGCAAGAGTCCATTTCTTCAGTTGTGGCAATATGTGAACGTTCAGCTGAACAGAACTCTTCCATCAAACAGAATGTAAAGGTTGCTTGCTTTTAGCTGAACACTAAGGAAGCAAACAGCTTTGAAATCTTATGTGATAATGGCCATGGCAGCTTGCCGGCTGAATCTGTGAGGGAGTCTGAGTGGAACAGGAAGGGAGAGGTTGGATGTGTATTTTGAGCCAAAATCCAATGCTGCAGTTGTGTAGGTTCCTAACTGGGGAGGGGCTGACTTGGTCCACTACTCCATTTCCTTAAAAATTTTTTTTATTGATTTGTTTTTTTAAAGTGCACACATAACAAAAACAAAGAAAACAAAGAATGAAAAATGTAAATAATAAGCCTTCCCATCCTAAAGCACAGTTATACAAAAGCACAAATGATAATATTAATAATAATAATTATACATCACAGCTCCAAAGGGATAATAATGTAATGTCATGAGTTGAGGGTGAGGAGTAGGCTGTCTGTCAAGACCCTTCTAATTCCTGGATCCAGCAAGTGTTAAGCAATAATTCAGATTCCTGGAATATCCAGGCTAGCTTCCTGGTGAGATAATGGGTCATTAAGGTAGCAAAGGAAGTGGCTCTGTGCCAGACATCAAATGAATGAGGCCTCCTCCCTCAATTCACTGGGAGTTAGAAAAGACAAAGGACCAGGCTCAGTTGTGTGTGTGTAAGCTTGAAGCTGGAGGAAGAAGCAGGCTGAAGTCTCTGAGGGGACAACCATGCCTGATCTCTTCTTGAATCCAAGGCTGTGGCTATGGGGGAAGCAAGACCCCTTTGGGGTGTTAATGCTGTGAACCCCTCCATCGTAGGCTCAGGTTGTAGACATGTGTAAATAAACCATATATCCTAAAGACACCACACTCTCTGCTGTCCCTCATTCCAACCCTGGGGAAGTGCCTGGAACCCCTGGAACCTCACACTGCTTGGAGATTGGGGTGGCATGCAACAGTATGAACTGACAGAAAGTTTCCCTTAGAAGATAATGAAGATTTATAAAAATCAAAGTATTTTCCACTTGCGTGCTCCATCGTTACTGACAATAAAGATTCTATATAGTCCTAAATGAGCCTGCCTGACTGCAAATACTGGCGGCACTGAGTGACCACATGCCTCAACATTTGTAGAAGAGGTGAAACCATGCCATGTGTCACTACCCCATTTCCCACTTGTTATATGCTCAGCAGGGAGGAGGGAAGTGCCATCTCCACATCCCGGAGAACCCTGTTCTGGGTTGCGACAGGCCAGATCAGGAAAGTTGTGAGTGTGGCTAATTGTCAGATCCTCCAAAACAACGAACAAGTTCTTGCTTTGCACATGCACCCTAGAAGTCTGGCCAGAGGTCATGTGGGAGAACTCTCAGTCCTGCAGTGTCCCACCTTAAGGGGAGCCACTACATGTCCACAGGAGCCTCAGGGGGCAGGGAGAGCACTCTCATGAGCCCCATATTGGGCAAAAGGATTCCTGAATTGCAGGGAGTTGCAGTGGTTGATCGTCGTGGTTCCTTCCACCTCTACAAATCTATGATTCTGTCCTTGGGTCCAGCTTAAGGGTTCCCCACAGGCTTTGGGTTGGCCACTGTGAGAAGAGAGTGCTATGGTCTGATCCAGCAACAGGCTCTGCTAAGGTCCTTACATTCTTAAGTGTCTTGCCTGAGGCTGAGGGTGCCCCAAATCCTGGAGCTGGGTTGAGACAGGGCACAGGTGTATTGTGCAGGTTTGCCCTTAGGAAGTACCCGTTCCTTTACCGCAATTTCCCTCCCAAGTCTGGGTACATACAACCAGTGCATTTTTCTGGGGGTACGCATACCCCTAAACATTTTGTGAATCTAAGTTTGGCCTTATTGAGGGTCAGTATTTCAATATGAGTAGGAAAATGAGAGTACCCCTAAACATTTTTTTTAAAGAAAAAAAGCACTGCATACAACTGAAATACGTTCTCTAGTCCCCCGCCTGATGTCTTCCTTCTGCCAGCCACTCAGGGCAGGACACCTCCTTGTGCGGTGGATAAACTGGATGGGGAGGAGGGAGGGAGCCCTCTCATCTTAACATGAGACTCCACTGTGGTCCTAAGTAAAGCTGAAAGGTGGAAAATTCATGATGGACAACAGGAGTGCACAGAGGCTGCTGCCTTACACTGAGTCAGACTGGCAGTGGCCCTCCAGGATTCCAGGCAGGGGGCTCTCCCAGCCCCACCTGGAGATGCTGCCAGGGATCTGAACCTGGGGCCTTCTACATGCAAAGCAGATGCTCTCCCACTGTGCTACAGCCTTTCCCCAAAAGCAGTTCTTCCCATAGCACATGAACACTCTTTCTATAACACTCTGGAGTTTACTGTAGCGATGGTCATCAATGAAGATCACTTTAGAAGGGGATTGGACAAATTTACAGAGGACTACGCTTTCAAGGGCTGCTAGTTGCGATGGTTGTCAGTGCCGGATTTACATATAAGCTAAACAAGCTATAGCTTAGGGCCCTACTCTCTTGCCCCCCCCAAAAAAAAATTAAAGGAAAAAAACCCTGGATGTACATTTCCAAAATATAAGATACAAAACAAATAAAATAAAACCTAGATACAACAACAGTGTTTTGTGTTGTGTATGCACGCAGTGCAAGTAGATAAATAGGTACCGCTCTGGCGGGAAGGTAAATGGCGTTTCCGTGCGCTGCTCTGGTTCGCCAGAAGCGGCTTAGTCATGCTGGCCACATGACCCAGAAGCTGTACGCTGGCTCCCTTGGCCAATAAAGCGAGAGGAGCACCGCAACCCCAGAGGCATCCACGACTGGACCTAACGGTCAGGGGTCCCTTCACCTTTATGGACCTATTAGGTCCATCAATTACCATATAGCATATGCGCAACACAAAAAACAACGACAATTTGTTGTTGACAAAGGACAGCTGGACATATAAAGGGCCTCATCACCCTCAGTAGCTTAGGGCCTCATCAAACTTAAATCCGGCCCTGATGGTCGTGCACTGCCAGGACCAGTTTGCCTCTGAATACCAGAGAGTTTTCAGAGGGAGAGTAGGAGGGGCCTGGAAGTTGTTCAGCAACTGCACCTGTTGGACAGCAGCCTAGCTGGGCAGGCACCTCCCTGGTCAGTCACATAGTCTTCTGCACGATGGTGAGATATGGCAGCTTCCTAGTTACCCATTGAAAGTGTTACAGCTATTTCTTGTGCATGATCTAGTTGTAATCCTTGCAACAACCGCAGGCTGACATTGTCACTTGCACTTTGCAGCTGCACTTGCCTACACTGTAGGTCTTTTGCTTTAAAAAGTAAATAAATCAGTTCCAGTACTGTTAGATCACTGCAAAATACAATATGTACAATATGTGGAAAGCGTCAATCACTTAATTGTGGGGGGGGGGAAGCATTGTCAACTGTATTGCAGCAGCTATTGGTGAATTATATAACACTTCCAAGTGTCTGCGTGATGAGGCTGAGGGCGATGGGAGTAGAATCCATTTTCAGAAGATGATGAGGAAAAGACAAGATACAATCACCCTGACTTAATCTGATCTTGCCTATTATTGAATATGGTCTCTTGGTCCAGTTAGTAGTAAAATTAGAATTATGGTAATACCGCAATGGATTAAAAAAACACTCAGGTTTTAATCTTAAATGCAAGCAGCAGAAGGTTGGCTGTAAAATTTGCTGCCTCGTTGTGAGGTGCACCAAACTGCACTGATGGCACTTAATTGAATTGTCTTGCATCATTTATAACACTTTATGTTCTCTTCTAACGTGTTCTGGGCTTGGGGTGTCTGTCCTCTGCCATTCCCCTTGCACAGATGGCAAGCAAGGCAGAAAGAGTGGGATTTGCGCCTGTGCTGTACTTTACAGAGGGGAGAGGAGGAGAGGAGAGTCCTCTGTCTGAAAGTGTCCTCAGTTGCAGGGCTTAAAGATCAAAGCTTAAAGATGAAGGGAGAGCAAGTGGTACCTTGAAGTTGCCCCCCAACAGCTGGCACCATCTGGGCAGCAGACTGAGCAGGCACCTGGTCACAGGCTTCCCTGTTATGGAGAGATGCACTGCTTTTCTATACTAATGATGGTGGTGGTGATGATGATGATGTAGCATTACTTATCCTCCCCCCCCATCCAACTGGGTTTCCCCAGCCACTCTGGGCAGCTTCCAGCAAAATATAAAGGAATAAAACAAAACATAAAACATTAAAAGCTTCTTGAAAAGGGCTGTCTTCTAAAAGTTGTATAGTTATGTATCTCTTTGACATCTGACAGGAGGGCATTCCACAGGGTGGGCACGACTACTGAGAAGGTCCTCTGCCTGTTCTCTGTAACCTCACTTCTTGCAGTAAGGGAACTGCCACAAGGCCCTTGGAGCTGGACCTCAGTGTCCGGGATGAGTGATGGGGGTGGAGATGCTCCTTCAGGTATACAGGGCCAAGGCCATTTACGGCTTTAAAGGTCAGCACCAACACTTTGAATTCTGCTCGGAAATGTACTGGGAGCCAAGGTATATCTTTCAGGACCAGTGCTATATGGTCCTGGTAGCTATTCCCAGTCACCAGTCTAGCTGCTGTGTTCTGGATTAGTTGTAGTTTCCGAGTCACCTTCAAAGGTAGCCCCACATAGAGCGCATTGCAGTAGTCCAAGCGGGAGATAACCAGAGCATGCACCACTCTGGTGAGACAGTTTGTGGGCAGGTAGGGTCTCAGCCTGCATACCAGATGGAGCTGGTAGACAGCTGCCCTGGACACAGAAGTGACCCGTGTCTCCATGGACAGCTAAGAGTCCAAAATGACTCCCAGGCTGTGCACCCAGTCCTTTAGGGGCACACTTATCCCATTTAGGACCAGGGAACTCCCCACACCTGCCCATCCTCTGTCTTGTCAGGATTCAACCTCAATCCATTGACCGCCATCCACCCTCCAGACACCTCCAGACACTCATACCTGCCTTCACTGGTTCCCAGGTTGGAAGTTTTTAAGTAGAGGTTGGGTGGCCATCTGTCAGGGACTCTTTAGTTGTGATTCCTGCATTGCAGGGGGTTGGACTAGATGACCCTTGGAATCCCTTCCAACTCTACAATTTTATGGTTCTTTATGGTATATCTATAGTGTTGTGAAGCTGATTATTTTTTATTTTACTTTATGCTATTTTTGATGCAGCAACTGATTCTACTATGGTCAGTAATATGGGCTGAAACAAATAGATTCCAAACTGAAAATGTTTAAGAGTGAAGAAGCCAAGGCTGCTGGTTTCCTCTTCCTGAGAGTAATTCAGGGCCTGGTGTCCTGCAGAAAGTGAATTCAGAAAATCCTCTATCACCATCTTCCTGTAATAAAGATAAAGACATTAAATCTGTCTTTGCACCTTCCCCATTTCCCTCTGAGCAAAGGGAAAGTCTCTTCCTGAAAAAATGTTGTCCCCATCCAACCAGTCCCTTAGGGAGCTGCTGGCAGGAAGTGTTTCTTCTGCAGAAATATAAACAATCCAAACTTTTCAAAGGAAAAACATTGGCAAACAAGCAAAGCGATTCTTCTTCCCAGGCCTTACTCCTGTCGCTTGCTTATCTTCTTTTCTTAAGCATTTGTTCTGTATGTATGTATGTATGTATGTATGTATGTATATAGGAACCTCATACCCTTCCACATTCCTCAGGTGAAAAGAGGAAAATTTCTCACTCTCCCACAACTTATTCCCTTGACCTCACATTTTTGCCCCCCCCAGCAGAGGATTTCTGATAGAAGAAGGGCAAGTGCTGCCACCATTGCACCAACTGGACACAGCCATGGGTGTAGCCAGGGAGTTTTGGGGGGGCAGAACCTCAGTTAGCTATGTATTTTTTGCTCCCCCTTGGCTATACCCATGGATGCAGCACACACGCCCTTCATCGTCCTCATAAAACCCCAATTTTATTTTATTTTTTGGTAGATTTACAAAAAGAAAAGTATACAACAATAAATACTGTATTTTTCGCTCTATAACACGCACCCGACCATAACACGCATGTAGTTTTTAGAGGAGGAAAACAAGAAAAAAAATATTCTAAACGAAACAGTGGATGTATGATTTTTGTGGTTCACGCTGTGGCCACAGACATGTGATCTGACAGTGAGTTTGGAGTAGCCCAATGCAAAAATCCTGAGGATCCATGTGGATCCATGCTTTGTAACCACGTTTTTGCACCACTGCGGCCCCAAGCAACAGTGGGTGCGTGATTTTTTTGGTGCAAGATGTAGCCATGGACATGCTATGTGATCTGATGGTGAATTTGGGATGACCCAGTGCAAAAATCCTGAGGATCCATGTGGATCCGTATTTTGTAACCATGTTTTAAGTGGGGAGGGGAGGAAAAGCACTCAAGGAACAAGGAGCACGCATGGGGTGGGTGGAGAAGGATGTTGCTAATAATGCAGAAGAGGGGTATAAGGGGAGAAGGCTCCTCTCCTCTCCCGCTTTGCTCCTTTAAAGCAAGCAGGCTCTGCCTTTCTCCCTCCTCCCCGCTCATCCCCGGCTTAGCGAGCTGAAAAACTTTGCTGCTATTTAGTGAGCTGAGTGGGGAGGAGAGAGGGACAGAGAGCCTGCTTGCTTTAAAGGAGCCAACCGGACAGGAGCCGCTTACACTCGTGTAAGCGGCTCCTCTCCTCTCCCGCTTTGCTCCTTTAAAGCAAGCAGGCTCTCTGTCCCTCTCTCCTCCCCACTCAGCAGCTCTTCTCCCACTTTGCTGTTTCAAAGCGAGCCACGGAGGAGGGAAGGAAGGGGAACCATGGATCCTCTGCTCACCACTGCAGCAGATCCCCCCGCCATCCGTAGGCATTCCCTCCATAACTCGCACAGACATTTCCCCTTACTTTCTAGGAGGAAAAAAGTGAGTGTTATGGTGCAAAAAATACGGTAAATTTTAGAAAGGGGCAAGATTAGATGTGGACGCACAAAGCATTTTTTAAACAAACAAACTTGAGTCTCCTTGCGCTCCACTCCCCCATTATTTGTGCCCAAGGCGACCCTGCCCTCTGCCTGCCCCTCAGAGCTGGCGCATCATGTGGAGCTGGGCCTCGTGGCAGCGGTCTCTCCTCCTCCTCCTCTCCCACACTCCAGCAGCCGTTACAAGCTGCCCAAGGGAGGAGGTCAGTGGTTGCAGCCATTTAGAGGCAACAGGGTGCTCCCTTGCTGCTGCTGCTGCTGCTGCAGCCTCCAGTCAGGCCAAGCCCCAAGCTCAGCAGCTGGTCTGGTGAAGAAAATAGAGACATTCTGGGATCAAATCGGAAGTCATAATGGCTTTTGTAATTCTGGGACTATCCCT